AACACCCCCATATCACAGAATGAGCAGTAGTCAGTAGTCAGTAGTTAGATTCAATTTAGTAGTTAGGAGTGCACAGAAGAAAAGTACAGAGCTGAGCTGACTCCACTCTAAAAGGGTTCTCTAACATCTGAAACCTGGAGTTTAGCTGATTGTAACCAACGTACAGTTTGTGTGAATAAAAGTTTGCAGTGAACTAAAAGGAAGTGTGTCATACTACTCATTAAAAGTCATGCACCAACAACTAACCGATATTTAACAATAACACTGTGGTTGTTAATATTCATAGCAAGAAACCACAGTGCTTTCCACAGTCCTTCAATGACTGTCCCATCGTTTTCGTTTACACTGCCACATCAGCTCACCTTAGTTCCATTGTTCCTGGGTTGTAGGAATGTAGAAAATTAAATATATATTCAATGCTGAAAGCTCATGCAACCAAATACTCTTGTACCATGGGGCTGTTAGCAACTCACTTGAGGCTTGCCATCCCAAAACCAATGTAATATTGCTAATTGTTTTTGAAATATAAATTATTGTATATATAATTATTGTTTTTTTTTTATTTTTTAAACTTATAAGTAATGCCTTGCAGATATATTTATAGCTATATAACATCAATAGTATTTTCTTTATCTGTGTGAGAGCCTTTTTTTCAAAGGTTGCTTTGAGAGCATTGTTGAATATATTAATACTGTAAATAAAATTTAGTACAATGAAGTTTTGAATGGTGTTGAGTCCATCATTTTGTATATCTAAATGATTAATGATACTTAAACATGCATACTAAATGATAAGTAATTACAGTAACATAATATATATCCTTGTTCCTCTTTGAAACTTTCAGGGAAGGGGGAGTCAATGTTCATGGCGCCTGGCTGCCATTGACACTGCAAGACAACTGTAGCATCTGCTAAGGAAGTGCTGTATTGGCTCTAATTGTCTTTCTGTCTATACTTGTTTCATTTGTAGGCCTACCTAATGTAAGTTGTTGCTAAATTACACTGGATGCCTATTTTCAAGATACAACCTTCTGGCTGGTTTTCCCCGGTATTCCCCGTACTTTTCCCTACACCCGCTCCCCAGGACAGTTTCTGCCCCGGACTTTTCCGCCCAGGAATAAACATCCCTGGGCTCAAGGGAGTTTTTTTTTTTAGCTTAGTATGGCATAAATTTTTTGCGTTTAAGCCAAATTCTAAAGATCGACAATCAAAATATTGTTATATGGAGAGGCAAATCAATATTTGTGGTGTGGCGACTTCGTCGTGGCATCGGACGATGGGGTCTAGGTCAGTCTGACGGAAATTCTCCACCTTTCGAGCAAATTTCGAATGATGACGTCATCGCACCAAATTCCAAGATAACGACAATATACAAATTAAAAGAAAAGTTTACCTATTGAAATGTAATATTTCTATACTACATTTTTCTTCATCATTGTACTATTATGTTGTTATACTATATAATATATTAATATAATGCTTTTTCTGAAAGTATAGTTTATTAGTAAAATCAATATAGCATTAGTACTGTTATTCTTGCTATACTGATGTCATTATCATCTTCATTCTCGTCGTCCTCATCATCATCATCATCATCCTCATAGGGATGTTGATGAGGAGAAGGATAAAGATGATGAGGATAATAAGAAGAAAGATGAAGTAGATGATGAGGGTGATGGACTATGATGATGAGGAAGATGAGGTGATAATGGTTGTTGTTGATGAGGATGATCGTAATAATGATAATGATAAGGATGATAGAGGATGATTGATAATGATGAGGATGATGATGAATGATGAGAATCATCCCTCTCATTATCTCCCTCATCCTTATTTTCATCCTCGTCGTCTAATGTGTAGGATGAAGATGATGATAACGATCAATGATGATGAGGGCGATGATGATGGATGATGGACAATGAGGATGATGGTGGATGAGGATGAATATTATGATGACGAGGAAAATGATTAAGGAGGAGAATTATGAGGAGGATGAAGATTATGAGGATGGTGATGATGATAACGACAATTTTTGATTTATGAGGATATGATGAGGACGGTGTCGATGACGGATGGGGATGATGATACATGATAATGGATCGATTAGTATGATGATGATGATTATGGTGGTGATGATTACAAAGATCGATGACAGTAAGGATGATTATGACGATGATGATGACAATGAGAATGACGATGACGAATAGGATGAGAATGATGATGATGTATGATAATACTGTAATATCAATAGTGGTAATAATAATATTATATAACAGTACTAACTATATAATTCACTTTAATAATAAAATATAATTTAAAAAAAAATCATACAGTAATATATAATATAATAATATTAACGATTTCAATAATAATAAACATACATTTATGAATGAAAATACTACATTAAAATAATACATACATTATGTATACATTGCTTTGATGAGATTGTATTTTGTACTTTGAGAAAAATAATAATATTAAAAAATAACCATTTTCTCGCCAGAATGGACGCCATCTTGGAATTTGGCATTATGATCATTTCAATCAAATTTGATAAAGACAGTAAAAAGTAACTAGTTCAATAAGTTTTTGTCAATTTTCACATTCATAGCAAAACTAGAAGTGAATAAAATATTGGCATAAAGTGTTTTCCTTTAGATGGGATTTTCGGGTCTTTCAGCAAAATTTCACTATGCCTATTTCCCCTACCCCCATCTTAATTAGTCCAAAATAGGGCATTTTATGCCAAAATTTCAAAGTGCTATAAAAAAAATTGCCCAAGCCCGAAGAATGGGGATTTTTTTTTCTGAGACACTATATGATTCAGAAAAACCCAAAATAAATTTTCCTTTACTTTTTTCCCTCTAATTTCTACCCTCCCCCAGGCTACTGTTGAAGTATTATTTTTTCGGGCTCCAAGAAGGTTAATATTTTCTTCGGGGAATACCATATCAAGGATACCCTTCACATGTTGAATAATTCATTGTGACGTGGAAGCAATCTCGACTTCGACTGTGTTCGGAAAATACAAAAATTATGAAGTCATATCACAGTAGCTTGATGCCTATAAAATAACTAGCCTATTACAATTCAGCAAACTTCGTCAGGGGCGAAGCCGCCGTTGTTTGTATCTAGGCGTTGCTTTATTAGATTTTTTATATGGGGGCGAGGCACATAAGACGGGCCTCTGGAGATCGGGGCCATGCAGTGGTGGCGCCAGGACCTGCCCGACGGAGGGGCTAAAGGCCCCGACGGTGGGGGGGGGGATAGTGGAGCGAATCGAGTCTCACTTGGCTGGGGCAAGGGGGGCCGCCTAGGGCCCCCGGTGGGGGTGCAGGGGGCGAAACCCCCTGGAAGCCACGGATATTTGATGAATGGCGAATTTTTATTACTTATTTGATAGGCATCGAGTTACTATAATATGACTTCATGTAGGCTATGCTTTCTAATGTTGACATCAGCTTCCAAAACCAAAATATTTTGAATAAAGCAAGAAACAAAGAGTATGCAATGTAACCATCTAATTTATTTTCAAATCCTCATTCTTGAAAGTGAAATTCTATATTTTGGGAATTTTGCATGAAATCTGTCAACCACGTTGTCATGGTCGAGGTTGCTTCACCTATCACGATGTATTCCAACCATCATGAGGCTATCTAAAAGAGCATTTGTCATAACAGAACGCAAATTATTTTTAATTAGTCTCATTGAATTATTATTATAATTATTATTATTATTAGGCCTATTATTATTATTGTTATTGTGGTTGTTGTTGTGATTAAAAGTTAACACAAACGATATGGTGGCTAAACGAATATTACATGTAAATATTTTTTTTTTATCACCACTGGGGCCATGGTTCAACGAACCGCTTGCCTGCGGTAGTTAAGCCACTAGTTAGTAACGTCACTGCATTTCCCTTCTTTCTCTCTACTCCGATGTTTGAATCAGTTTCAGATAACAAAGACATGAACAAATTTCAATTGTGCGTATTATATTTTTATTGAAACTCATAAACGCCAGCCTCTTAGGCTATGTCCAGACAAAACGAGTTACGCTAGCGTAACGTTAATCGAGTGGTGTGAACGTACTGGCGTACGATAATACACCAACAGATTCCAGATTAGCGTAGGGGCCTACGCCAATGAGTTATGACAGTTATGCAGCAATGATTTGTGAATGAACTCGGCCAGGAGTTGACCCATCACAAAAAGCCTAGATGCAAACAGGAAATTAAATGCGCGATTACAAATAGGAGTATAATATTAACGCTAGCGTTCGTTAATCGCACGGTCTCGACATCTCACTAGTTACGCCGTGGATTAACGTACGCCCAGCGTTAGACACGCCTGGCGTATCTCTCAGATCGGAACGTATAGCCTTAAACATAAAAGCGGTTCGTGTAGTTATTGACTAGAGGAAACAACTAGACTAAAGCTGCATTCACACCCGATTCGAACCTAAATTCGTAAAACGTTTTCGATGCGCGTTTAGTAAGCGCCCCTATTCTTTACCACAGATTCGATGTTCTTTTTTAGTTTCGTTAGCCATACAAACTGAATTCGGATTCCCCCCACACCCCTGTCGGGTAAAAATCCTGGCGCCACCCCTGATTCGGTGTGAATCTATATTAATTAAGATGAAATTAACAGTTGATGATCTTCACTCATAGTGGCCATATTCATGATCTGATCAAAATGGTCACTCGATGCAACTCATAGTAATGTTATTGTTGCTACTCAGAAATATTAGTCCATTATGAAACAAGATTTCTAGAGGCAAATCTCCGTATTATAAAACGTTTTTAAATAATAAAAGTAATAATAATTAGTGCAATAATATAAATGAATGTATCTAACTGAATCCCAACCTGTTGTTTGAGGAATATATTAGGGTAATTGAACGGTCAAGAAATTAATTAATTTAATTTAATCTCAAATAACAGAGATTACTACTGTATTCCATTCATTACATTTAATACTAAATATTATTATTATATCGTATCATCAAATCATTTTGGAGGATTTATTTTTCCATAGGAATCTCGCATACGTATGGCAACATATAGTCGCAAGGGATGTCATTCCAGGTCAGGTAATTATCATTCTTTTTCCATTGGTGAACACAATTTTCCTTTCCTCCAGAGTTATTGGGTTCACCGGCTCCCCATTTCTTGTACCTGTATGGTGATTTGTCACACCAACGCCAAGTACTGCCCGACCTCCTCAAACCAATCCAGTATGTGTATCCACTCGCACTGGGATTATTGTTATAAGTTTGCCAAAGCGTGGAAACAAATTTGTTTTCATCTTCACTTCCGATGGAGACGAGCTTACCGTGTGAGTTTTCGCAGGAGGAGCAAGCCTTACTTGCCTCATCCCAAGTCTTTAAAGATGCGTAGAATCGATAGCACTTATTTCCATTTTGAAGCCAAAATTTTGGACATTTTCGACATAGAGAGCCATCAGAAGGGCTTGCAGCCACCGCAATGATGATACCAAGTAGCAATACCTATCAATAGAAATATAGAACATATAATACTAAATGAAAACTTCTTAAATTATACTGATTATTATACCTATTACCCAGTTTGTAGTCCCTGTTGGTAATTTAATGTAATGTAGTTAGATTTAAATATAGCGCTTTATACCGAAACGGTCTCAATGTCCTCGAAATGTGGTCTACAGTAGGCCTATATACCGTAGCTCTTACAGTAACTTGCTTCTCCCCTAAGGGTCTCTCATGTCTGAGCTACCCGGTAGCGTATACCAGCTACTCTCGTCAGTCCACAACAGGGGTAGCCCACTGATTTGGGGTAGCCTGGGTTCCAGGCCCTAAATTTTGGTTAATACTCTTTATTGCGATTATTGCGCGCCCTACCTAATTTATTTGGTGTCCCATACTCGATTTCTTTTTTTCGGATTATAATTATTCTTAAAATTAACTAGCTTGTTGGTGGCGCTGTCCAGAATGATAAAAAGCAATACTAATAAGGGACTTGTGGCAAGCTCTACAACAGGTGCTGTATTTACCAGTTATACACCGGGGTGACCCTTCACTCGTTTCGGAAGATGTTGGTTCTTTCATGGAACAGTAAAATTCCCTGGTTTCCTGGTTCTTTTAAGTGCACACGAGCCATATTGTGTAAATTGGGCCTACAGTTTAATTACAGTCCTTATCCGAGAAGATTTGTTATGCAATCTCTAAACCGTCTTGTTAATGATATAATATATAAATTGTATAAGAGGAATCTGCACTGGAAAAATTTAACTACTGTAAAATCTAACTGTTGTCCACCCATCTTTTATAACACATCTCAATTTTTTTAATAGTTTTATTTAATGCCAGGGAGCCTTAATCAGTTATAAAAACTGTTTTTCACAGGGCACTCAACCAACATAAATACAATACATAAGAAATCGTTCAAACACAAGAGAAACGCACATGTTATACAAATTTAAATATCATCAATAAAACAAAATCAGGATATAATTGAATTATAACGGTTAAACTGCTTAAAAATATAGACTTATTAGTGCATAAAAACTTATTTTTATTATTATTATAAATATATGAACCCATTGTACATTTACAATTACCAAATATATGTTTTACAAAATAAGATCCTTCTTTGTTCATAAAAAAACACTAAATTATGCGGACCCATTTTAATAGTTGGAGATATTTTCAACATATAAAAATTATATGATGTGGACACATTTCTAAAATTTGCATTTTTCGTGAATATAGATTTTAATTGAATGAATGTGTAGAATCAAATTCGGGCGAGCAGATCATTTGATCAAAAATTTTTTCGGCCATGACCGTAAAAAGAATAGGAATTAACAATTTTAAAAAAAAATGCAAGAATAGTCTTAGTGCTGACATAAAAAATGTATTTCAACCATATTTAGGAAGAGTGACCCGTTCAGTTTACCATTAAGGATGATTTATTAGTTGGTCATATCTTAAAAAATATAACAAAAAAGTAATACATCAAAAGCTTACTTAACATTCATAGATGAAAATTTGGCCCTCACCAAAGTGAGAGAAACATAACAAAACAAAGAATAATTCTAACAAAATTTAAAAGTAATATCTCGGTATAGTTTCTTTCTATATTATATTTTATACTGTATTATCTTTAAATTTTATTAATAATATAAAATTGTACAACTTACGATTCCCATGACTGCCTACTTCTTCAATTTCGTAAAGTGTGGCTTACTATATTATATCACGCCTTAAATACATTTTCTGGATCCAGGCTTTGACCAATCCCAGCCACTTTTAATACTGTAAGTGACTTGAATTTCCCGAATCTCTCAAACACGCCCATCCATGACGTTGGAAAAGACCCTGCAGATCACAGTCATAGTGTAGGAAATTTTGGTTGGGTGCACTGTTTACTATATTTTGTAAAAATTGGATATGTTGTAGAATAGAAATCACTGAATATAAAAGTATGTGCAACATTTTCTTAATGCATAAAGGACCGGCCCAACAATTTCAAAATGGCCGCAATTTGGAAACATTTTATTCCCATAATTGTACATTGATGACAAAAGATGTTATTATATTAAATATAAGTGACAATGAAAATAAATATAATATTTCATTTAAAATTTGCAAAAATTCAAATCCAAAATGGCGGCCATTTTAATTTTTTAAAATCTATTTTTAGCATATATTTAATATATGACATTAATGATTTAATTAAACCCGTACAACCTAGCCTTTGAAATGCAACAAATTGCAAACAATAATATTTATTATTAACAAAATAAAAATACAATTGCAAGGTTCGTGAAATCCAGAAATTACGCCTTAGTTAATATACAAAAAGTTACTTAAACCGAGCTTAAGCCCTGTTCCTGAACTTCACCTAAGAGCATTTCCAAAATGTTACATAATGGTAAAACTACCAAAATACGAATATTTTGTCGGTTTTTGTCCAATACCGGTACCGTACCCTTAGTGATTTGAGTAGTATATATAGTACCAACTGAGCGAACCACAGACCTTCCGACTACCGTTTGGTACTACTCTACCAACTGAGCGAACCACAGACCTTCCGACTACCGTTTGGTACTACTCTACCAACTGAGCGAACCACAGACCTTCCGACTACCGTTTGGTACTACTCTACCAACTGAGCGAACCACAGACCTTCCGACTACCGTTTGGTACTACTCTACCAACTGAGCGAACCACAGACCTTCCGACTACCGTTTGGTACTACTCTACCAACTGAGCAAGTGGTATACACTCTTGGATTTTCCCATTTGAATACGTTTTTTTAAAGGTTTTACCTAGTAAACGTCGCAATGAATAATATTAAATTACTTTAAAGTAACTCTCGTTTTCTCTAATATTTATTATCACCTTCAATTAACACCAGTAGAGTTTAATAATTTGAATTAAGAATAATAGTGGTAGTAGAGTCAAAGGTAAAAACATGGCATTTCGGTCATTGTGCAATTGCTACAATGAGGGAGATAAATATATGTATGGTTTGAATAATTTGAAAACCATCTCCAATTTGCATATTTAAACTAATTTTCATGTAAACTAAGGTGATTTCTAGAATTTTATTGTTTTGGAAATCCTGCAAAATAAAGTCATAGCTCAAATATCACATTTACGGTCACTCTTGGAGAAAATGTTAATTAATAATAATAAAGCAAATAGAGATGTGTGTTTAAAAAAGGAAGTAATTCTGTACGACCAGTGGTTGCCAAGACTGTATCTCATCCCTAATTTGCATATTAACTAAGGTGTAATTTCTAGATTTTACCAACCCTGCATTTGTGTATTTTTTTTTCCTATTAATATTTAAAATTATTGTTTGCAATTTGTTCCAATTTAAATGCTAGATTTTATGGACTTCATTAAATCATTAATTGCATAAATTAAATATAGGCCTATGCTAAAAATATAATTACGGTATAATGGGGGCCATTTTAGGTTTGAATTTTGCAAATTTGAAGTTAAATATTATTTTAATTTTTTATTGTCACTATATATGAAAGAATATTCAATATATTAGCATTCTTTAATGTCATAAACCTACAGTTATTGGTTATAAAATGCTTAAACTACCGCAGGTCAAGCGGTTCATTAAACCTGGGCCGCCGATTTCCGGGGGTCCCCGCTCTTTAGGGGCACGGTCCCCTTTAAAATTCTAATAAACCAATGCATATTTTTTTAAAAATCTGGATTGAAAGTATTTTATCTTTATATATGCTGCACATTATAGTTAAAATTAAAGTTAAAATAATCACTTATAAAGACATACAGTAGCTACAGGAGGTTCAGTGAACCGGGCCTCCGTGGTTTGGGGACCTTGGGACAAACTTCTCTGGTGGGGTTCAAATTGTACTTTTAGACCACAGTGCTAGGTATTGGCATCAAAATAACTATAATCTAAAATCAATATTTTTGGTTTGAAGACGACTACCTCGTCATGGTGGCGTACGACGTGTGGAGGATGACCTCGTCGTGGCGTCGTACGAAGGGGCCGGAGGAGGCCGGAAGCCCCTGGGCAGGGGCCCTTTAGGGCCCCTAAGACGCAGATGGGGGTATGGTGTTTTTAGCGGCCTAGAACGTATTTTAATGCCGTTGTTACACATTCGAATTATAGGTTTTATGTATTATTTGACCCTCAAAAACCATACTTAATTAACTAAGATACCACAAATTAATATAGTCCAATAAATATCAAACAAAACGACCAAATTAAAATTAATAAATATTTATGAACAAAAACATACCTATCATACTCATGTGTTAATGCTTTTGCTCATGGATGCTTCGCTCTCTGGAGGTATTACTGTTATAATACTATCTAAATATAAAAACACTGAAATTAGTCTAAATCTAATTAGGGCCTAATTGCTGATTTTCCATGGTCCTTCCAACCTGACCGAAGCGGTTGTAGGCCCTGGTTTGAACCCCTGTAGAAACGTACAGTACAGTACTTTATTCTAATATTGACTCTCCACCCCAATTTGATTCCCCTGATTCTTATTGCTCCATAAGTATTTGTCACCTGGTAGATCTGTCCATATTATGATGGGAATACCTACATACATCCTCCTGCCATTAATAAACTAAAAACACCTGGCCCAATTCCAAAGACAATTAATGAATATTGTACCCTGTGTATTCATAACGCATGTTTAATTTAATTAGGTCTACATCTTTTTTATATATATTTCACAACGTCCGTCAACTCGTATAAATATAATAGGTGCGCCTATTCTTTGTTATTCATATTGCATTATATAATATAATTATCTCTGTGGTCTTGCACTTCAATTTATTCAGACACTGGGGCGGATGCAGGATTTGGCGGTAGGGGTGAAGAATTAGTACTTGTAGATGGCCGGAAATGACATATTTTTAATAGTAAAATTCATTATCATCATCACCACATCACTATATCATTATATAGGCCCTAGTCAAAATGAAGCGCCAACAAATTTTCATGATTTTTTTTTTTTATCGGGGTTTTTCGGCAACCATAGAGATCTAAGTAGTATGTGTGATGAACCATAGAAAATATAAGTTAAAAAACATTCACTTTGGTGTATTTACTTTACATACTTAAAAGCAGTGCGAAAATTTGAGGAAATAGTACCTTTAGATGGCCGGAAATGACACTTTTATATAGTAAAATTCATCATAATCACATCATCATGTCTAGATGAAGCGCCAGAAAATTTCTCATGATTTTTGATCAGGAATTTTCGGCAACCACAGAGATCTAAATATTATGAGTGATGTACCATAAAAAAATAATAAAGAAACACTTTCTTTGATGTATTTTATTTATTTGACCTACCTCAAAGCTGTGTAGCCACATTCAACTCAGCCCCACCATGGCTGGGGCTGAGGTGAGAAAATTAAAAGAAACAATACCGGAAATAATACCGGAAATGGCACAAAATTCTTCATTATCACCAACATCATAATATAGTCAAAATGAGGCGCCAACAAACTCTCATGATCTTTCATCAGCTATTTTTGGCAGCCACAGAGATCTAATTTGTGATGTACGGTACCATAGAAAACACAACTTAAAAACATGTATTTGATGTATTTACTTTACCTACTTCAAAACTGTGAGTCCACACGCATCTCAGCCCCACCACAGTTGTGGCTGAGGTGGTAAAATTTGGGGAAATTGTACCTCTAGATTGCCGGATATGATTGCCTTATATGTAAAATTCATTATTATCGATCTAAATAATCGCTGTGATGTACCATAGAAAATAAAACTTAATTGTCGTTGATGTATTTACTTTACCTACTTCATGTGCCGAAAAACAATTTTATCTTTGCACGCTTTTTCTCATACAGTACTTCTCAAGTTATAATACAGGCACGCGCACTCAAATCGTGTATTTTTTATTTTATTTTTATTTCAACAATGTGTAAAGTGGGTAACCCTTTCCAACATAGCTGATAGCTTTGACAACTCAAAGACGATACCGAAAAAAAAGAGAAAATAAACGGTAATGACATAAAAAATAACAGATTTATAATATTTATACATAATTAAAAAAGGTCTGTTATATCGATGATAGGTAATTCAGATGTTTGTGGGCAGAGTATACCGGTGTATTGCTATAAAATAAGATGTACTCTGGCTGTAGGCCTACCGCGATCTTTCGTAAAAACCTGAGTCATTTATACAGTTTATATCAACAATTTTCAGGCATATCTTCTTGATTCCCGAAAAGTGAGGGGGACCAACCCTTTCCCCTTAAAAATATGTTGGGTGGGGGCGTGTTCCCCTTCTCCAGTGATCTGCGCCCATGGGTCTAAGAAGAGTCCACTTCACCTCAGCCCCAAGGAGGAGTACCCATATTGTACCCTGTGTATTCATAACACAGTTTAATTTAATTAAGCCTACATTTTTTTTATGTATTTGACAACATATGTCAACTCGTGTACTTTTTGTGTGGTAAAGAATACAAAATTGCTTGACAACCAATACGCGCTCGTTTTGACGCGCTACTGTGATTTCACGAACTAACACAATCTACTTTGATTCTGTTAGTTCGTGATGTGAGCGACGATATAATAGGCTCGCATATATTCATTGTTATTCATATTGCATTATATTATATAACTATGTTCGTGTTTCTTGCATTTTATTTATTCATGGAGGAGTATGCATTATATAATGTGTTCGTGTTTCTTTCACTTGAGGAGGAATGAGCATCTCATTTATCTAGTTATCATATCATCTAGTTATGGAATTTTGAACAATTTATTTTTCTATCCTTTTCGCAATACAGTGTCTTCTTCACATTATTTAAAAAACTAATTGTGATTTGTTTATTATTTGTCCATATATAGCATTCTTAGCCTGTGTGATGACTGTATTCTCCAATCAGGGCCTCTCGGAACCTAGTTACGCCACTGAGAAAATGCAGTGGCAGATTCAAGGGTCCCAGCCCAGTCGGCCCAGCACCGCCCCCCCCCCCCCCCCCCCCCCCCCCATTTTTAAAAAGTAAAAAATTAATGGAGAAAAAAAAAAGAAAGTTGTATTCTGAGAGTGCCATTTCCAGCAATCTAGAGGTGCCATAATCATAAAAACTTTTACCTCAACCCATAATAACTTAGGCCTAATAAATTACAACAACTTTTATCAAACAATGACATGGAAAAGTTGTAACAAGAGGAAAGGAAAAAAGGGCATTGTCATGATCAGAATTAGAAGGTAGGCCATAGTGACCCTTGACAGTGACCCTTGATACTTAAATAATTTTATCAATTTTTACAATTCTATTAGGTTTTTCGGTTTTGTATGTCTGTGTTTTTAAATGTTTTTAATGAATTCTCATGTAATTCAGGGTTAATGCTGCCATTTGAGATCGAATAAAATTTAAATTGAAATGTCATAGAATAGATCTTCTTAAATGAAAGGAAGTGGAAATCAATAGGTTTCTGCATTACAAATGATATTTTTAAAATGAGATTTTACACTAGCCGACGTATATACCGTACTAGTACGGCAGCTTAGGGCCATATTTGGACTTAATGTGGACGTTCCGGACAAAAGCACCAGTTTTTTTTACATGCTCCTTATGGTCATAGCATTCAATTTTTGGTAGGAACCACCTCATCCGAGGTCATTATGGCGGCCACCTTGGATTTCAAAATGGCCGCCTAATAAAACCTATGTTTATCTATATCCCCGCTTCTAAACCACTTGGAATTATAATTCTAATGTCTAAGAGTATGTTTATATGATCGAGGAATACCATCATATCATTTTTGACCTGGTCAGATTACCAAAAATGGGTCATGTAAGGTCATTCAAGGTCAAATATTGTATGGTATCTTTAAAATTACGTAATTGTCAAATTTTACATTAGAATCATACCCAGGCTCTCAGAATTCAAACTTTTTACTATGAACTACAATATTTCATTCGAGGTCATTCTGGCGGACATCTTGAATTTCAAAATTTATGCCACGCAAATCTTATATTTATCAATCAATTTTTAAACCACTTTAATGAGAATTATGATATCTAAAATTATATTACATGGTCAAGGATTTATAACACTTGTGACATGGCCAGGTGGTCATTAAGATCATAAAAGGTCATTTAAGGTCATTCAATGTATATACCATACCA